TTGGTATTCAAACTGCTCCATACATGTTAGTTTCCTCTTTTAACAACCAGTGGCTCATGTACAGTAGATGATTCTGTAGTTCCATACACAGCAGAAATTGGCCCCTTAAGACATAAATCATCAAAACAAAGGTAGCAATTTGAAGGTATTGACAGATGCATCTGCAAACATTTGCAATGCTTACCTGACTCAACAATCACAACCAGATTTGGGACATGTCCACCCAACTCAGCCACAATTCAATACAACAAAGCAGCTGTCTCTCTTCTTTTTGTGGCAGGACAAGCCCCAAAATTGTCCAGGAGCATTTTCGGCTTTCCCCAGGAAAGACAGCTCTTAAAAGACCCCTTGGCTCTGCAGCTTTCATCACCGTAGTGCTGATGATCATTTCTCCATTTTGCTGTCCTACTATCCAACTGACTGCCAACTGCTGCCTCTCACTTCCTTGTCAGTGGCCATCTCTCACTGTCTCTCATCATCTTGCCTCTCCACCAATCTCCGTTGCCACTGTCTCCACTGTCTTATTGCTGAATTAGTCACTGCCTCCTGATTGCTGTATTCATCCCTTTGTGGTTGCTACATGTTGCAGGACAGGTAAGCCCCAAAATTGGGGCTTAGCCCAGGAGGATTTTTTGCTTCACCAAGGAAAGAACTCAAGGGTGAGCCAGTGATGGTTAGACAGTGATCGTTTATTGAATGGTACTGCTCCTTGCAGGGCAAGGTTCATGGGCAGTGTGCTCAGAGTTGGTACTTGTGGGCTGCTGGCTAGCTGTATTTATATCCATTTTTAATTACATGCAAATTAAGGGTCAGATTATTCAGAAATTTCTAGAAGGGGGGTGGTAATAACTGAGTTGTTACTATGGCATATGTAAATTGTCATGGCGTTGGTGGGAGCGTCTTATGCCAATAAGCAATGAGGGCAACTAGGGATCACCTTTGTCACCATCTGCTGGTTTCTGCTGGTTTTTTAAACTTTACCCTATCTGGACCAGTTCCTGTCCAGAATAGGACAGCAGCGTGGTGACCAGAAAACAAGTCCTGCTGGTTTCTTACCTCACTTTATCAGAGGGCTTTGCAGCTACAAAGCTGACATTGCTCAGCCATTGGCACAAGTGTGAGCTCCTCTGGGACAGGAATCACGTATTCTGCATTTTGTTCTCCCAGCCCTTAACCCAGTTGTCTGGGAAGGAGTAACCTCTCAGTATATGTGCAGAACCCCAGTAAGATTCTGGTATAACATAGAGAACCCCAGGCCAGGGATCAGAAGACCTGGGCTCAGCTCCAACCGAGCCTCCTACCAATGGTGTGACTTTGGGAGACTCACTTCCTCCTATGAGTCATCAACATCCCTAGCTGTGAAATGAGAAGTTTCAACCATATACACTCTGGAGTCCCTTCCGGCTCTATATTCTCTGCTGGTAGCAAAACAGTAGGCCACTCTTTGTTTTTTGCTTTTATCTTTAGTTCCTTTTCCCCTGCCTCCTCCTTCATTTTCTTCATTTTTTCCTTTTCTTTTAGTCAGTCAACAAACATTTCCTACTACATTCCAGACCCTACGTCAGAAGCTGGGAACTCAATGGTAAGCAAGATAAATGCAGGAAAAAAAGTACTTAAGTGTTTGTTGATTTACTGAATACTATAACTGCATACTATTCAATTTGTATTTTGAACGTTTGCTTCAACATACAAGCTAATTGTGCAGTTTCTATTGCTCTTAATGACATGCCTGTGAGAAGTAAAGGAAAACCCAATTATATTAAACACTTAAGAGAAGTCCTACAATTCTGACATAAGCAGCTACAGAAATTATGTAGACACTTCAGGTTTAAACAGGTTTGGCTGAAATTGCCAAGGTCACTGCAACAGTTACCCAGGTGAGGATGGACAAAGGACACAAAGATAGATGTGTACCCGCCCCCCCCGCTACACCCTATTGCTAAACCCTTTGTTCTGCTCTCTAATCTTTGCACATACCAGAGATTTCGTAAGTTCTGTGAGTACCTGTTTTTCTGCACGTACCAGAGATTTTGTAAGTTCTGAGGCAGGGTCACAAGACGTGTTTAAGTAAGATAAACTCTTGCTGCCATAAACCTGCTCTCCCGCCTCAAAGTTTGAACCAAAATATCAGAAATGGCGGGAACCAATCATAGTTAGCCAAATCGCCTTGTTCAAACACTAGCCAATCATATATCTGATTTGTATAATAACTCTATGCCCACTTTTCTTAGACTATATAACATTGTTCGGAGCTCAGTGGGGGAGCTCTCCTGCCCGTCTCGTTTCTCGAGCGAGGGAGAGTTCCAGGTTCGAACCTGTAATAAAGATCCTTGCTGCTTAGCTTTGACTCTGGACTCTGGTGGTCTTCTTCGGGGAATAAACGGTCTGGGCATAACAAATGGGGGCTCGTCCGGGATTTCCCCCAAGCCCACCAGACCCCCAAGTCAACGGATCTTAATCTGTAGGTAAGCCGGCTTTGTCACTGTCTCTGTCTTTGTCTCTGTCTGTCTCCCTGAAATTTCGCGAAATCCGTAATCTGTAATCTGTATTGGTCTGTTCTGTAAGTGGCACGGTCTTGGCGGACGCGCTAAAAGACAGTCACTCGGGACTGGTGGGAGACGTCCCCCAGTGCCCATCTGTGGGCCTCCATCCTTGGTTGCCCCGTCTGACTCAGGTCGGAAGTCCGACACGCGCTCGCGAAGGCTCGTTTCTGTCTGTCCGTTATTGTTAAGTGTTAAGTGTAAGTCCAAAACGAAACATAAAACCTTTTCTTCCCCTTCCAGGACCGGACCTGTCGGATACTCCCCTCTGCTTCACACTCATTTTCGTCCCTCTTTCTTTGTAGGAGCGGTCCAAAGATGGGCAACAACCAGAGCACGCCGCTCTCACTCCTTGTTACCAATTTCAAGGATGTGAAGGCTCGGGGGCGTAACTTAAGCATAGAGCTAAAGAAGGGAAAGCTAGTTACTTTCTGCCGTTCGGAGTGGCCCTCTTTCGGCGTAGGGTGGCCCTCCGAAGGAACTTTCTGTCTCTCTATCATCACTAAGGTAAAAACTAAGATTTTCCTGCCAGGGCAGTCAGGACATCCTGATCAAATTCCTTATATTCTAGTGTGGCAGGATCTTGTGGAAAACCCACCGCCCTGGGTAACTCCATTCATCCCTGAGCCCTGCAAGGTCCTAGTAATGCGACCTACAAGACAAAGCACTCCCCCTGCTCCCTCGGCCCCTGTGCTGCCAGACAGCCAGGACCCCCTAACGTTAGAACCCACACTTCCCCCACCATATCCGCACCTTATCCCGCAGGACCCAGCCCCCCAGGGTGGTGCTTCCGTAGAGGGAAACCGAGAAGCGGAAGCAGCCGAGAGCGAAAGTAACCCGGGGGGGCCGGCCGGCCGAACGCGAGGCCGCGTACAGCGAGACCAAGCTTCCCAACTCCCTGACTCCACCGTAGCCCTGCCTCTCAGAGAAATAGGATCGCTCGATGATACCGGGCTCTCCCGTCTCATGTATTGGCCTTTTTCCACTAGTGATTTATACAATTTGGAAGTCCCAAAATGCTCGGTTCTCCGATAATCCCAAAGATCTAACCTCGTTGTTAGACAGTGTCATGTTTACTCACCA